AGTATTTACATCTTTTTAATTCAATAATTAGGAAAACAAATTCAGATGCTTTCTAAGGGCTTGTTAGCTTACAAAAAGGCTTCTCCTTATTTTCCTTCCGTTTTCTGATATTTGATCAGGTAAGGTATCATATTTTAATGAACGTCTGTCTGGAGTGTACAAAATATCGGCATGTAAATAAGTAACGGCATTCATCGCCCACCTACATAGTTGCAGACTGAGCGATCGCATTTCTAGGGGATTTGAATCCGAAGTCTGCTGGATGGGAAAGCGCTTGCAAGTTCTAAACTTTAAAAATGAACAAATGAAAACGGAAGTTCCCATCCTTAGAATACTGATGTAATAACCCTCAATAACAACATCAGTTTCACTTGAGACGAGTAAATGTTAGACAATATATAACATATGATTTCATAGATAGTAAATCGGAAAAAAATCTGTTCAATTACAAGTTTTCTTTTTTCTTTAAATGACATTAATCTAAATTATAGCTCTATCTGAAACCCCAAACATATAAGAACACACCCGACATGTGTTAAATTCTGTTAGTTCTCACGATTACTTTAACATTAAACAAACTGACTTGGATTAACATGCATTGGCAAGTGATGTCTCTCATCGCCTGTCGAATGTCCCTTGCTGAAACCATGTAATCGCCAGGGGAATTTGACTTGAGACGTTAAAAACCTTGTATTTAGTTGTTAAGCACAAACATTTAATGGCTGGCGGACATATTTGTAAAGTTTTAAACTAAAAATGTTATAAAATGTTTGTTGGCAAACGTGTTTATGGAGAGCAGCCAGTGTTTCATCAACATCGGCGAGAGGAGGTGTGCTGTCTTTGTTTGTTATTCAAAAACTTACGGGGATATAAGGGAGTGAGTTGGGCTTAATGTCGTCTTGAACAGTGCAACCGCAACACAGCATATTGTGGATGATAGGCCAAATGACTCTGGTCGTAGACGTGTTCATTGTACTGGAAGCACCTAGCATTGGCATGAGCTGACAACTAGGGTATTAGTAGGGTGTATTCGGGATATCAAACTCACGATCGTCGTATCCTGTTATACCCAAGGGAGGCAACTCTTAACCGCGAATTACGTAGCTTTAGACAAGTAGGGTCAGCTTTATACCATGCTCTCCCCGTATCCCCGTAGTAATGGTAGTTCTGGTAGTGAATTGCATAGGACGGATCCACCTGAGAGGATCCAAGAGATCCAAGTCTTTCATTGTTCCGTGGTTGTACTGATTAAGCCATCCGTATGTTTTTTCTTCTCCAGCCTTAGCCCGCAAGATTTCAGGGGGGTGGAAAACATCAATAAAAATAGATAATAAAAAAACAATTTCCACATATTCTCACATATTTCATGAAATATTGAAATTTAGATCACATGATAATAATATAGATATTTAGCTATGATGTAGATCGAATTGCTCACTTCGGAAACAATATGTTGATGAATGTACATGAAGAATAATGAAGCTGACCTTTAAACGAGTGTTCAAGGTACTTTTGTTGTCACATCAGGGAATAAACGTTCACAACGGGGGAAATTGAATTTTTTAGATTTTTGTCACGCCGGAATGAGTGAGTGAGTTTAGTTTTACGCCGCACTCAGCAATATTCCAGTCTGTAAATAATCGAGTCTGGAACGGACAATCCAGTGATCTACAGCATGAGGATCGATCTACGCAATTGGGAACCGATGACATGTGTCAACCAAGCCAGCATGCCCGATCCCGTTAGTCGCCTCTTACAACAAGCATGGGTTATTTAAGATCTAACCCGGATCTTCGCGGGACCACGCCGGAATGAAAAATCAGGGCAGGCGAAAGATGGGAAACACAGAACGGGTCAGTCGAGAGTTGGCCGTGTGTCTTTCTTCCTCCGTTCGGATCCATATCAGAAACACAATGTGTCTGGTATTGAATATCTTTAAATACATTGTAGGAATGACAGTGCAGCTATGATTCTGATAGAATTAAATATCATACTAATTTGATTTTCTGAACTATGCAAGTGTGATCAGTGTGCGTCCTAATGCACGTATAAAGATTTCAGAAGGGTTAAAAAGAATAAAGCATTTAAACGGTTAGTGTACTGCAGAGCCGGACACAACGTGCTTCTCACATGACCAAGATACGGGATTGTTGATATTTTACGAGCGCTTCTCTTCCACAAACTATTCGCCGACAGTGATTTTGGGCGGCACAAATCCGCTGTGAAGACTTGCAACTCTTAGGTACCAGGATCCAGTAGTAAACACTTAAGACATACATTAGATTTGGTTTTCCTCGTAAAAGAGGCATTTGTCTGATTTACTGGTCAAAGCGGCGTTTAAACGTTTTAGATGCATCAAAACAGCAGTGTAATGATAAACCATGTGATGCGCACGTAAAACCTACAGCATCCGATCTTGCACACACAAACAATAAGGCAGTGCACGGATATTCCTTTTGTTTTGTGTTGTGATCTATGACCGGACAAGTATATCCACCCTGTTTAGTATTATTAGCTATAACAGGACAAGTATATCGTTGTAGTTTCAATCATTGGCTACGTGAAGGCAACGATATCGTTGTAGTTTAGCATGATCAGCTATCACCGGTTAAAAATATCCCATTTGTTTGGTGACATAAGATCAGTGAGTGGGTGAATATGGTATTACGCCGCTTTTAGCAATATTCCCGCAATACAACGGCGGGGGACACAAGAAATGGGCTTCACACATTGTACCCATGTGGAGAAACGAACCCGGGTCTATTGCGTGACGAGCGAACGCTTTAACCACTAGGCTACCCCACCGCCCCGGCAGAAGATCAGTTATCTAACCATGTGTTACACCAGACTAGCAGCCACCCAAGTATTTGACGTGATATTATTGACCTCCTTTAGAAAGATTTTTTTCACAATTATTTTATATAACAAAGGGGCTCAAAACTTCCTCTTTCGACTGCATGCACGTCACACCACACATCTCGGAAATACCCACTTTCATTGCAAGGCGATTACTGGCAATGTCCTCTATGCTGAAAGCAAACAAAGTGACAGTCTTCTGAACCGGAGACTAGTATATATTGTGTGCAGTATTTAGGTTGCAAACCTGTACCGTTAGATCAGTAGCCGGTTTGAATATCCAGAATTATTGTTTTAATAATATACATATACATCGAATGACATATTTGTGTGGGTACTCCCCATGAATTGTCTCGTATGTGATGTTAATCGGCATTACCAGTGATATAATTTAAGCATATATTTTGACTTTTATGACCATAGAATCTGTTTCGTCGGATAATCGAGACTGGCTTTGATGTCTTATATTTACATACTCTCTTATACATGTTACATCAAATAGTAGCCGCGCCATTCAGCAGCACAACCATGCACGTGGCAACAGGTTTAGGAGCTGTCCAATGCAGAGTTGTCTGCCCACACCGCACAAGGATCGAATGAACTATTTTACTGGAGTCTCCAAGGCTGAAGAGTCTTAAGCTTATATATATATATAGTCGTCCCTTCATTTCTCTGTATACCTACTCGTGAAGGTCCGGGTTAGAATAAACCTTCAGTAACCCATGCTTGTAAGAGGCGACTAACGGGATCGGGTGGTCAGGCTCGCTGGCTTGGTTGACACATGTCATCAGTTCCCAATTGCGCAGATCGATGCTCATGCTGTTGATCACTGGATTATCTGGTCAAGACTCGATTATTTACAGACCGCCGCCATATAGCTGGAATATTGCTGAGTGCGGCGTAAAACTAAACTCACTCACTCTCTGTATACCAGACAAAGGGACACGGGGTGGGTGGCGGTTGCGTCATCGTAAGATAGCGATATATATTCAAACCTTGAATTATACCAGCGCCTAGTCAGCACTCAAAGAATACTTAAACATGTCCCTATTCTTTAAAATAAGATTTGATCCAAAACTTTTAAAACTGAAAAATACATGGCATACTGAACAAATGAGGATAGGTATCTCAGCCATCCAACTCTTGAAATATCAGATTTTCTGTACACAATTACATTATTTCAAACATGGTAGGGGCAGATGGTTGTAATTACATTTCTGAACAAATTCATATTTTCACACACTTACAGCTACAAATATTTTATAAAAACTGTTGCATGAATGAGCGAAATTTAAATAGACATAAGTATATCTAACAACAGTTCTTTTAATTTTCAACTAAATTAAAAAAACCAGCTTGGTATATTTTCTTTTGCCTATCAGTATATATCATTATATTAAACAGTATATCAATGTAAACTTTTTAGTATGGATGGCTAGCGACTAATTGTATCCAGCCGATGAAATGAACAGATATTATGTAAACGATTATACAGTGAGTGTACCACGAGGTGATATTGAACCAGGTGGCTGAACGAGCTTCATGAATGAAGCGTTGTAATGCATATGCAACACACTGGTTTTATTACAAATCGACATAAATCCATAAACATTGATCCACGTGACACAGAAACCCACATGTCACGTGATGAAGATAACTTAGGATTGATTGACGATGGTGCTGCAGTTGATCAATATAATCCCAGATGTTCGTAAAACATGTGGCGTATTTCAGTATGATACACAAATGAAAACAATTGCCTAGTGAATCAATAAACGTTCATAAAAACGGCCGGAGTCATATAAAATAGGCTACAATGCACTTGCGAAGTCGTGCATCAAAAATTATATTTAACAAGATGTAGCAGTCTTTACGAGTTACTGTTGTAAACATGTGACAAATCAATGGTTTGCTCTGATACCCAAGTAAGCCTAGTTGTATTTAAAAGTATATATATCATATGTTTTCTTTTGAAAAATGGTAGACCGTTCACACAATGGTTCATGGTTACAAGAGACTGACTGACTGACTGAGTATGGTTTTACGCCGCTTTTAGCAATATTCCAGCAACATCACGGCGGAACTCCACACAGGAGGCGGGGCTCAATAAGGAACCAAGAGTGACCTCCCTTTAAAGGGCGGAAGTGTTCAACAAAATGGAGTCGTACATGTAATAGCTCTTTCTTGTCAAGTGTTTATTTGATGTCTGCTGCACAACATGTCTTTGGAGGAGCTAGATCAGGTGTGTATGAAGTCTTTCAAAGAGTAATGATATACTGTGTATTTGTTAAAAATGTACAGGCATCACCAAAGGTGTATCAAACGGACACAAACCATCGTGACGTTCATTTCTGGTTGGGACATATCGTATCTTAGCTCATGCTCCTATTAAAATATTTAACTCTTCAATGATTTAAGTATAGTTCATAACACATCTTCTAAAAAATGAAATGTCGCATAAGTAACAGTTCTTGTTGTTTCTGAAAGTTAATAGAAAACATGTCTATGTTTGTTGTGGTTTTCATCAGTCTAGGCCGACTGTCAACGCATACCGGGCCAGTACATATGTGAGCAAATTGTAAAACCGTCACATCAAACGCAAATTTCACACCCCAAGAGCTTCCTTAGACCTAGTTCAGGCCTAAAATCTACATTGCATCTTGTAGAAAGTTCGCCTTTTCCTCTCCAAATTAAATGACTCAAATGAATGAGTCAATGTTGGATTTACAAGCACTCATGTGGCAGTGAAAATATGTTACTAGAGGGGTTTGCATTCAAATTATAGTGCTTGAAAGTTTTGCATCCACATTACAATGTTAGCTTGAACTCATTCACAACTGTGTAAACAATGGCTTAGGTGGCAACTTGCATTAGGATTCACCACCCACGTGTATACTGTCATACTGCATGTGTTTCTCTACATAGCATCACTGTGGTAGTAGAAGCTCTCACTCTTAGTTACAAGTCATTTCACCTTATATGACCAGTGCAACGCCATACCCAGCTACCTCTGATATGGAAGAAATTTCAGGGAAGTTCCAAACGTAACAGAACATACCCCTTCAAATTGTTGTTTGCAAACCTAAAATCAATCCACATGTTGGTACTAGAATGATGTATATTTTGGTGTGTGCAGGAGCCGTTCAGCGTTCATGAATTTGTTGAGCGGCTGGCATGGAAGACAATGGGGAGCCGAGCCCGGGCACACCAGCCCGGAGGACTTCGACCCCATGTTGCTCCACAGCACATTCGAGAAGGTCATCCGTGACCTGAAGGAGAAGAATGTGATGATTGCCAGGAAGATTGAGAAACTGGAAAATAATTGCAAAGATGAAGAGAAACGACACTGGCAGCGAGTTTCAGAACTACAAAAAAAGAATCATGTGAGTGGATATGAAGTGTTCTATTTCTATTTTCTCTCATGTTTACCATCCTATGTAACTGAGCTTGCTTGGGGTAAGGGATATAGTTACATGTTGTTTTTAAGGGTCTAAATATGGTAAAGCATCATGAACATAATTACTGTATTGACAGAGCAGTGTTCAGCAAATGTTAAGTTTAAACAGTGGTGTTAGCATCTGATTGGTAATGTATTTGTGAAGGATACAAAAACATCAATAAGGTTGGCACCTTGTTTGAAGGTATCAACCTTGAGGATATCAATGAATATGTTTACTTTCATAATGTCTTCAAGGATGCTTTCAGTCAAGGTGATGTTATTTTTTAGTGCTGGTTATTGCTCACAAAGTGCAGATCGATAATCGGAGCTCAGTATTCGATCAGTAATCGATCATAATGGTAAAACCCACCTCAAAACACATATGGCCAATAATGGGACACAATCATACCATAGTATGAAACAGGCACTGATTAATACTGGTGGTGTTCCGATTAATTGAAATAATAAAAAATTGGTTGCAGTGACGAAACGACAAACAATCAATCACATTTTCACATAATCGAACACAAACAATTTTTGGAACTACTGTTTTAGTGTTTGAAACACTTGACGATGGAAAGCATCTTAGAAGTTGTCAGGGACTAAAAACGTGTTTAATTCTCAGAAGACTCACTTCACTTACTGAAGAGTCATGACTGAATATTTCTTGAAGACTCCAGGAAGTTAATGTTCATGATACATTAGTCATCACTTTACCATAGTAAGTTGCCTCATTTTAAATTGGATGCGAAATTTGCAAATACAATTTGTGCAGTTTTCTAAATATAACAAAACAGCAACGGAGAACCACTTTATACCTATCTGCAATAACAACCTGCACAGGAAAATCTGAAAAATGACGCTGACCAATTTTTCGATGATTGTTCGTTGGTAATGAACCAGTTATCAATTGTGAGATTCCAACCAGTTCCCAGCACTGATTAATAACCGCCTCCGTGGTGTAGTGGTTAGAGCGTCCGCCCGGAGAGCAGAAGGTTGCGGGTTCGATCCCCGACCGCGTCATACCAAAAGACGTTAAAATATGGTACTTGTTGGTCCCTGCCTGGTGCTCGGCATTAATGGGTACAACAAGGACTGGTCGGCTCGGAGTCAGTATAATGTGTCTGAGTGGGGTATTCATGCTTCACTGCGGCATGGTATCTCAGTGAGCTAGCACTATAAAACCAGCTTCAGTCTGGGCTAGTACCAGCAGCCGCACATACACACGCATGCACGTCGTCATATGAGCGAAATATTCTCAAGCACGACGTAAAACCCAATTTCACCTCACCTCACCTCACCTCACCTCACCTCACCTCACATCACATCACATCACATCACATCACATCACATCACATCACATCACTGATTAATACTACCATCAAGACGATCAAGGATACTTCCTACTGAGACACATATGCAAGTATGCTGCCACTGCAACAGTTGTTTGTGTCTTGATTTAACAAACATCATGATAGAAACATACTTTCTACAGTTTAATTTTGATGTTTCATTTTTTATGAATATCGATTAGTCTCCAGAGCCCCTTGATAGCTGCTGAGATCGAGATCAATCGATTGGCCAATTATTCCATCCATCACTCCTGCACTAGTAATTGTATTTTTAATTCATATTCCTGTTTCTCTTTCAGGCCTTGTACACCCATTTCCAGAAGTTGGATGAGCGTATTAACTATGTAGCTACGAAGGTCGTTCACCTCGGTGACCAGCTGGAGGGGGGTCAACACGCCTCGGGCCAGAGCTGTTGAGGCCCAGAGGTTGATGAACTACCTGTCCGAGTTTCTGGCAGACGAGGCACTCAAGTCTCCTGTCTTGACAGACCCCTTCCAGGTGAGCTAACTACATCTTAACAATCAAACAATGAACTTCATCTTAACATTGGTCTCCCCAAATAATCTCTCAACAGTACGGTGCATTAAAAGTGAAATTCTGTTTCCCCAGCAACGGTGTCTGTGGATTCTTTCTCCTGACTTTTAGCATAACAACTCTGTGTGTTATTTTTTGTGGTAACAAGCGTCAAGGTATTTTCACAATGGTAGACAGGAGAGATGTCAGTTGACTGGAATTGCTGGACTAACACTCAGTCACACAAACAAAGTTAGGTTACTTCAGAATCTATGTCGACAAACTAAATAAATTAAAATCTACATGGAGCTAAGAACACTGTTTATTTTCAAGCTTCGTAGAGCTGAGGCAGCCTAGACTTGCCAATAAATAGACTTGGTTTGGTCTCCTTTTTTAGTTTATTCTTGAGGTTCTGGGAGACACACCATTGAACTGCACAGACCTTTCTTATTAGAAAAGTAGTTCAAAAGTATGGTTCAGGTGTTTTTTCAGACCACTGGTTCTAGGCTGGAAGTGTTGAGGGGGTAGCCTTATGGTAAAAGTGTTCACTTTTCATGCCATGACCCAGGTTCTATTTCTGACATAGATACAATGTTTGAAGCCAATATCTGGTGTCCACTGCCATGATATTGCTGGAATATTGCTAAAAGTTCTTTAAAGTCATTTTCTCCCTACTTAAGCTTGGGATCAAATAATGTATTGTTTTCGTATTTTTGCTGATTATTTTGATGACCGTGACTATTATTGTTATCCCCCGCAATGCATTTTGCGGGGGGGTATTAAAATGGACTCCGTCTGTCCGTCCGTCCGTGCACATTTGTCTTTTCCGGAGCAGAACTCGAACACCGTTCAATATTTCTTCACCAAACTTGGCACATAGATAGATCTGGTGGTGTACTGGTGCCTTTTGGATTTTGGATTTCTAAATAAAATATACATAGACTGAAATTGGTGATAGTGCTCCTTTCTGGAGCACAACTCTAAAAACCTTTCAATACTCTCCTTCCACTTTTCTATATACACACCTAAATATTTGACATAATCATAACTCGTAGACATAATCATGAAAAGTATTTTGCCATTGCGGGGGATATTGATGACTTTGTCTTCTTGTTGACTGTGACATCAAGTATCTTCACTGTGTTGCAGCTCCAGCTGACTGCGGATGTCATTCAGAAGCTCCACATGATCGCTCTAGAGCTTCCCGGGGGAAAGTGAGTAAACCGTCATTTGAAGCACAATACATGATATACAGATTATTATCCCCCGCCACGAAGTTATAGATAAGGAAAGCAAATTTGGTATGTGTTTTCAGGACATGAATGCCTTGATGGATTTCGAAAACAGAAGCCGTTTTACAATTCTTTACAGAGTTATGGCCCTTGTCATGCGTTTCTAGACTCAGTGCACGGTATCCCCAATGGGGACAAATTTTCTCATTTAACAGCTTATGTATTGCTATTTGTAGGAAGAATAAATAGTTGTCAAACTAGGAACAGAACACTGTGGCGGGGAATATTGATGACCATGTCTTCTTGTTAAATGTTTCTGTGCAAATATTTTAAATAAAACTTATAGTGTGGGATCAAATGATCACATTGTCATTCGGTGACGTGTGTGAAGTGTCGTTTTTATCAAATAATGATTTAGTTCCATTGCAGTCCTGTTTGTCAGCAGAATCAGCCCAACATTTAAAACTCTCTGTCTAAAGTACCGAGCAAGCAGATACTGAACCTATGTGTGGAGATATAAAGTAGTTCCTGCTTTATGACCTTATTCAATATGCCCTGTGAAGATCCGGGTTAGAATTGATCTTCAGTAACCCATGCTTGTCGTAAGAGGCAACTAACCGGATCAGGTGGTCTGGCTCGCTGACTTGGTTGACACATGTCATCAGTTCCCAATTGTACAGATCGATGCCCATGCTGTTGATCACTGGATTGTCTGGTCCAGGCTCGATTATTTACACTACAGACCATTGCCATATAGCTGGCATATTGCTGAGTGCGGCATACAACTAAACTCACTTATTCAGTATTCATCAGATCATTACTCAGAGTTTATTGGATATACATGTATTAGCTTGATAGATGTTTATTGAGCAGTTTATGGATAACTGTTAAGTATGTTTAAATATACTCTGTTCCTTTTTCAGATTTGACAAGGCAAGACAGAGAATTGCAGGTATTTTCTTGTAACTGTTCAATGCTTTAGACCACTTCCGAAAATCACCCTTCATGATGCTATTTATTGAAAATATATGAAAGCTTTACTGTATATTTTAGCATTTGTTGAGGTTTTCAACTAATGATGTGACGATAGCATGTCTTCACTTATATTCTAGTATTGGTGCAACATGCTCAGACTCATTCCAGATTTGTTTTTGTCACTGATGTTATGGAAACAATGGGTAACTTGTCCCCAATCCCTTTCATATTTGTGAATAAAATCTGTTTAAATCAAACAATGGGTAAATGCATGTTTGTAATCAATACATATATTTACACTGATTCACCCCCTTCAGTTCTGTTATGTATCTGCAATATCTTCCACACAATACATCCCCCATTTGTAGTTTGTCCTTATTTATATGACAGTTTGTAATGTTTATCTGATTGTGTGCTGCAGATAAGTATGACTCGGTGGAGAAGGAGCTGATCGGAGAGTTCAAGCTGGCACACCGGGACGGCGACCAGCGCAAAATGAAGAGAATAGCAAGTGTCCTACAGAACTTCAAGGTTGGTCTCCTGTCACCTCCATTGTGTGTCAAGCCGAGGGACTCTGTGGGATGTTACTTGTTTCATCATGTTAATTAGGGGCGGTGGGGTAGCCTAGTGGTTAAAGCGTTGGCTCGTCACGGCGAAGACCCGGGTTCGAATCCCCACATGGGTACAATGTGTGAAGCCCATTTCAGGTGTCCCCCGCCGTGATGTTGCTGGAATATTGCTAAAAGCGGCGTAAAACCAAACTCAGTCAGTCAGTCATCATGTTAATTACGGAACATGTCTAGTTATGAAGAAAATCTCTCCAGAGAGGGGAAAGATGGTGGTGCCATCTACTGCCTCATCATGGCAAAAGATGTTAAAAGAACGCATTCAGTATAAATATTTCCTGGTGCTTGGCATTTGGATAAAAAAGTTACAGGTCATCTCAGAGTCAATAAACTGTGTCACAGCCAGGGTCCATGTTAAACTGCGGCCTGCTATCTCATAGGGCTTGCACAGCAAATACTTGACACATATCGGTGTAATCTAGTGTGTTCAAAGCATCATGGTTTAAAGCAAAACCCTGACTTAACAGCATACTCACATCAGGAACACAAGTGTTTAAGATAACATTGTTTGCATTTTGCATTTGTCGTTTGTTGGTATTAATATCGGAAATCTTTGTTCCTTTGTGTCTATATGTCCGATTAATATCGGAAATCTTTGTTCCTTTGTGTCTATATGTATGATGTATGTTGCTGAAATCCTTGACTCATGTGTGTTGTTTAATGTGATGTTTTTGTTTTTCAGTCATATGGTATCTGCATCGACACATTTATCACTGAGAGTCAGAAGGTATGTCGGAGTTGTCAGATCGTACCGATATCATTGTCAGTATACTGGACCTGGGAGTTACCGACCTTCTCATAGCGTTATCAATACATGTTTCCATAAAACTATTGACATATTTGATTCCATGTCTGCCATTGTTTGCCGTTTTAATACACAATCAGGGGCCTCGAATGAACACGGCATATTGTTTCAGCATTCCTTCCTGAAGGAGAACGTGTTTGACGACGTGTTGCCGCTGTGTCAGCGGACGAGTCAACTTATCAACCACGTGTTCACCAACCCAGAGATGGTCATGGGCAAGTTCGTGCAGAGCATATTCCAGGGTATTCTGCAGGTAGGGTCACTTTATCATGTCTTCATTACAGTAAGTTTTAAAGCCACTGGATTATAGTACACATGTGGTGTGGTCAGACTGATGGTTAAAGCATTCAGTATGAGATTGGTCGAGTTTACTTACAACAAACAAAATATGGAAGCTGTTAGTTTAAAAGGTTTTTTTACAGATGAGACTATGTAGCACTGGTTGTAAACACAGTCCAGATATTGACATTCAGTATAGTAACATGAATCATTAAGTATCAGTGGTTTAGCAGACACTCACAGACACCCATAACTGTATGTCTGATGCTTATGTAAGTCAGTTGTACTGTCCCTGATGGTAATATGAGGGACTAATCTATCTGTTTGGTAATTTTCGTCGACATCTAATTGATGTTTGCAGTGGGACACAGGTCCATGGTACTGTTATTTTAGGGGATACATCGGTATACTGACATCCTTGATGTTACCTTCAGATTCATATATCCAAGAGGTTGGGAGACCGATCAGACCAGGAACAGTACCTCAAGAATCTCAACGACCTGTACGTCAGGTGAGTCCCTACTCTGTGTGGTCAGCAAGGATGTCAGGGGACGATGAAGGTCATTGGCTAGACTACATGATGGTAACAGACCCATGAAGATCTGGGTTAGAATTGGTCTTCAGTAACACATACTTGTTGTAAGAGGTGACTAATGGGATCAGGTGGTCTGGCTCGCTGACTTGGTTGACGCATGTCATTGTATCCCAATTGTGTAGATTGAAGCTCATGATGTTAATCAACGGAATGACTGGCCCAGACTCAATTATTTTACTGACCACCGCCATATAGCTGGAATATTGCTGAGTGTGGCTTATAAACATCCAACCAACATGATGGTACTTCAGTTACACACTTAACCACCGCCGATCAACCCTTCTCATCAGGTACATTTTTACATATGTAGCGAATTAAAGTTCTCCAAACTGTTTTAAGTTGTTTCTGCATCCCATGCTTGTATTCTGACATTGTCCCATCTTCAGGACCAAGGAACTTACGACAGAGCTGTCTGTCTTCAAGCTGGGGAACGACAGCTCCTTCCTCAACAAGCTGCTGAAGGGGATCTTCCAGCAACACCTCACCGCCTACATAGAGTAAGCTGCTTCTGTCCAGGGTCTTCTTACACAAAGTGATCATAGTGCTTGGACTCCAGACTATATCTTTAAGTATGGCATTTCATAGGTGGATCCAGAGGGGGGGTGCAGGGTGCACCCCCCTTTTGTGCTGAAAGTTTGTTAAATGACCATTGAAACCTGGGTGAAAATGAAGTGTGCACCCCATCTTTTCTCAATAGCGTGCACCCCCCTTTCTCAAAAAGCTGTATCCGCCCCTGCACTTATGATTATGACTGTCAACAATCTGCTATGATATACCTAGTTTACACTTAATTATGCACATCACATTGTTCATGAGCTTTTACATGACATATCAGTACCCCATCTTAATGATGAGGTCTTAGTGTCTGGACAATCGCACATCACCTAGCTTGTATTGATATTCTGTGAAGAAAAGTAAGGACACATATGACAGCAACTGGAGTCTTTAGCATCATTTTACAACTTCTTCTGACCGTACTAATGTGCTGTCAGGAGTAGTATTGTTCCCACCTGTGAAGATCCGGGTTAGAATTGGTCTTCAGCACCCATGCTGTCCCAAATGGGTAGATTGATGCTCATGTTGTTGATCACTGGATTGTCTTGTCCATACACGATTATTTTCAAACTGCCGCCCTATAACTGGAATATTGCTGAGTGGGGCACTAAACAACAAACACAAGTGTTGTTCCGACTTGTATCATTCATCAGTGATTAGATGTATCAGGATGTCTTATAGTTGTGTTGTTGTTGTTTTTGCAGTGCAGAGACCAAGTACCTGCATGATCGGTGCTCGGTGTTGATGCTGCGCTACTACGAGATGCGGGACCATCAGAAGAAGCAGATCCAGTCTGGCGGGTCAGTCATGATGTGTACCGGGAGGGTAGGGTTGTGGGTGGATGGGGTGTAGGTAATTCATGTCATGCAGTCTCAGGATGGGATGGTGTAATGAGTCTCGGGGTGCAATAGGAACAATAGCAACCCAAGTCTTGGCGGGTCAGTCATGATGTGTGTCGGAAGAGGCTTAATTAAGGGTTGTGGGTGGATGGGGTGTAGGTAATTCATGTCATGCAGTCTCAGGATGGGATGGTGTAATAGTCTCCTCGTGCATTCAGGGGAACAATAGAAGAAGTCTGGCGGGTCAGTCATGATGTGTACCGGGAGGGTAGGGTTGTGGGTGGATGGGGTGTAGGTAATTCATGTCATGCAGTCTCAGGATGGGATGGTGTAATAGTCTCCTCGTGCATTCAGGGGAACAATAGAAGAAGTCTGGCGGGTCAGTCATGATGTGTACCGGGAGGGTAGGGTGTGTGTGAGGATGGGGTAGGGTTTGGCTTTGAAGTCACACTGTCTTTGGGTGGAATAGATATTATAGTCTCCTCATGCATGCGGAGACAAAAATCTGCACAACAACAGAATAAGCAGATCCATCTTAAGGGTCAGTCATGATATGTACTATGAGGGTGGGGTAGGGATGACATTCATGTCAGGCAGTCCTGGGGTGGGACAGTATAACAGTCTCCCCACACATTCAGGGGGCAAGAGGATGGGAAACAACAGAAGACACAGATCCAGTCTGACGGGTCAGTCATGCTGTACTGGTGGTCTTGGAAAAGTGAGGGTAGTCACATCATGCATTCTTGTTGTGGCATGGAGTTTTAGTTTCAAGGAAGACATGCATACAACAAATCAATGATCACATGCTCTCACAAGGTCAGCAGTGACAAATGAACTGAGGAAATAATGTAGTTCATTTCCCCGTGAGTTTATCAGTTTCCTTTACTGTGTTTAAATGTACTGCAGTAGGTGAATATTTTTGTATTTATTTGATTTTGTCACTGAAGGACCAGAGACAAAGTAGGAAGATGCACTCATTTGACATGATTCATAGGCACTGTGACATAGATTACTTGGCTCGCTCAGAAGCTTAGATAATGGGTTTATACAAAAGTGAGAATGAGAAAATAGAAAAGGGAAGTAGGTAACATATGAAACTGGCATGAGCATGTCTTTTGTTGGTGCACATACTATAGTACAAATCTTCTTGTGTTTATGGGATTTTTGTGTTTTCAGAATTCATGACTTACGTCGAGATATTCAAGCCAAACTTGGTACAGTGACAAAGGCAAACATTAACATAGGTCCGGGCCATTGAAAACTATGGCGGCGAAACCTTCCTCTCCCAGGAGGTCTCCATCAACATCCTCCAGGAGACCAAACTGGCGTTCAAACGATGTCACGTGGTAAGTTGTCACCACTGATGACTTGTATGTGTCGAGATGTGTCTGTTGTCAGTTGCATTGCCTCTTAGCGAACTGACGTTCCATCTTTGTTACTGTCTTTGTGATGTGTGGCATTAGGTCCGAAAGTCATAAAGATGAATGGTCTTCCCCAGTGTACTGTCTTGCTGAGCATTACCATTTGTGTTTTGATACAGTTCATAAATGGAAGTTGACGGAAGTATGTGATGTTATATATGTTGGAATGATTATGACAATTATATACAAATAAGATTGGCATGTTGTAGGCATATCTGGAACATGCGGAAGTTTTGGGCAGATCTTACAAGTCAATTTTTAAGATAAATATACGTATTTTCAATATATATCCTATGCATCTTACTTATTGACTTCCTTCTGGCAGTTGTGGCTCAACATTCCATCTTTTGCCATAATATCTGATTTCCTGATTAATGTCTACAAATGTTATATAACGCACTTGCATTTGTACCATTCCTATACCAAAGATGTCTTCAGCAGAGATAACAGTTATTGATATGGAGGCATATTATGTACAACTGTTATACCTCTTTCTTTCAGTTATCATATGATGTGCCGAGCCATTCAGTGAAGATATTTGAAGTGTTGGTACAGTACCTGGTCACAGAACACATAGACTACGCTGTAGAGCTGGGTCTACAAGGTGAGTGTAGCTCGTCACAGAACACATAGACTACGCTGTAGAGCTGGGTCTACAAGGTGAGTGTAGCTCGTCACAGAACACATAGACTACAGCTGTAGAGCTGGGTCTACAAGGTGAGTGTAGCTCGTCACAGAACACATAGACTATGCTGTAGAGCTGGGTCTACAAGGTGAGTGTACCTCGTCACAGAACACATAGACTATGCTGTAGAGCTGGGTCTACAAGGTGAGTGTACCTCGTCACAGAACACATAGACTATGCTGTAGAGCTGGGTCACATGAGTGTAGCTCGTCACAGAACACATAGACTACGCTGTAGAGCTGGGTCTACAAGGTGAGTGTAGCTCGTCACAGAACACATAGACTATGCTGTAGAGTTGGGTCTACAAGGTGAGTGTACTCTGTCCCAGGACAAGGAATTTTGAAAGGCTGTTTGAATGAATGGACACTTGTACAAGACTGAGAACATGTCAAGACCGAGTCCAAGTTTAGTGGCTGTAAGACCAATTAATCCTTGGGGGACCACCTGATTTGTGATACACAGCCTGCAAGCTCTTTGTCGATGTGAAGAGAGACAGCTTTCTCGATATCTTCTCACAGTTCTAAAGTTATGACATATACATGACTTGCCTAGTTCTGTAGACATTGAAAATACTTGTGTTTAGAAAATATGGAAAACACATCCCATCTCAGATTACCAACATATGATTTAAGAACTGTGTTTGAGCAAATTGAATGCCATACCCTATAGCTTGATTCAGGAGGAAGTGCGATGCTCCAAGTAAGGATGAAGATGTTGCATGGAGAAGCTGCATGTAGGCAACTGATGATACAACACTGACAATGATGACTGATTCCCTGTTCTATGTTGCACAGCTATACCACTGCCGGACCCAAAGACAGAACCTGAGATCTACTTCTTTGACGTCATCAACCAGGCCAACACACTCTTCCACCTGTTTGAGAAACAATTCATGGACAGCCTAGTCCCTCTAGTCCTGTAAGTGTTACCATGGTTGCTGAAATATAAGTTCCTTAATGTTTCCTTTATCTGTGGTCTATATTTTATTAATTCATCTTAAACTTGTTTCTTGTTTCAGATCCTCACCAAGGCATGCTTTGTGTTTGAAAAGGAAACGTGAACTTCGAGAAACCCTAGAGAACAAGATTGGCACAGGTCTAGATAGGTGAGACAATAAGCCTACAGCAAGGACAGTCAGTGGTTCTTGGGTGACTCCCCAGATGATTGATGTCCCTGCTTGCACTTCACATAGGTCACACTAGGTTGCACACTTGAAGGTTGCATGTCAGACCAGTCTTCCAGGTATCTGAGAAGTAATTACAAACATGTTTCTACCAAGACGTACTTGTGTTCATGTTTCAGGTCTTTGAATACAATTATTGGCTGGACTAAGTATATCTTAGCTACAGAACAGAAGAAGTCCGACTTTAAGCCAGAAGAAGATTGTCAACTGCAGATGTTGTCTGTGGTAAGTATTGATGTTGGCTGTAGGTGTTGTCCGTGGTAAGTATTGATGTTGGCTGCAGGTGTTGTCCAGGGCGTGTCAGCTCACTGATTCTTGATGACATCATAGGATGAGTTGCTCTGATGTGTCAGTGAAGCATGCACATGCAGCCATGTGTGGGGAAGGTTTGTTGTAGATCACATGGTACTGTTCTCTTGCTGGCTTGTGTGGGGAAGGTTTGTTGTAGATGACATGGTACTGTTCTCTTGCTGCCATGTGTGGGGAAGGTTTGGTTGTAGATGACATGGTACTGTTCTCTTGCTGGCTTGTGTGGGGAAGGTTTGTTGTAGATGACATGGTACTGTTCTTTTGCTGCCATGTGTGGGGAAGGTTTGGTTGTAGATGACATGGTACTGTTCTCTTGCTGGCATGTGTGGGGAAGGTTTGGTTGTAGATGACATGGTACTGTTCTCTTGCTGCCATGTGTGGGGAAGGTTTGTTGTAGATGACATGGTACTGTTCTCTTGCTGCCATGTGTGGGGAAGGTTTGGTTGTAGATGACATGATACTGTTCTCTTGCTGCCATGTGTGGGGAAGGTTTGGTTGTAGATGACATGGTACTGTTCTCTTGCTGCCATGTGTGGGGAAGGTTTGTTGTAGATGACATGGTACTGTTCTCTTGCTGCTATGTGTGGGGAAGGTTTGGTTGTAGATGACATGGTACTGTTCTCTTGCTGCCATATGTGGGGAAGGTTTGGTTATAGATGACATGGTACTGTTCTCTTGCTGGCATGTGTGGGGAAGATTTGGTTGTAGATGACATGGTACTGTTCTCTTGCTGCCATGTGTGGGGAAGGTTTGGTTGTAGATGACATGGTACTGTTCTCTTGCTGCCATGTGTGGGGAAGGTTTGGTTGTAGATGAGATGGTACTGTTCTCTTGCTGCCATGTGTGGGGAAGGTTTGGTTGTAGATGACATGGTACTGTTCTCTTGCTGCCATGTGTGGGGAAGGTTTGTTGTAGATGACATGGTACTGTTCTCTTGCTGCCATGTGTGGGGAAGGTTTGGTTGTAGATGAGATGGTACTGTTCTCTTGCTGCCATGTGTGGGGAAGGTTTGGTTGTAGATGAGATGGTACTGTTCTCTTGCTGCCATGTGTGGGGAAGGTTTGGTTGTAGATGACATGGTACTGTTCTCTTGCTGCCATGTGTGGGGAAGGTTTGGTTGTAGATGACATGGTACTGTTCTCTTGCTGCCATGTGTGGGGAAGGTTTGGTTGTAGATGACATGGTACTGTTCTCTTGCTGCCATGTGTGGGGAAGGTTTGGTTGTAGATGAGATGGTACTGTTCTCTTGCTGCCATGTGGGGAAGGTTTGGTTTTGGTTGTAGATGACATGGTACTGTTCTCTTGCTGCCATGTGTGGGGAAGGTTTGGTTGTAGATGACATGGTACTGTTCTCTTGCTGCCATGTGTGTGTGGAAGGGGGAAGGTTTGTTGTAGATGACATGGTACTGTTCTCTTGCTGCCATGTGTGGGGAAGGTTTGTTGTAGATGACATGGTACTGTTCTCTTGTTGCCATGTGTGGGGAAGGTTTGTTGTAGATGACATGGTACTGTTCTCTTGCTGCCATGTGTGGGGAAGGTTTGTTGTAGATGACATGGTACTGTTCTCTTGCTGCCATGTGTGGGGAAGGTTTGGTTGTAGATGAGATGGTACTGTTCTCTTGCTGCCATGTGTGGGGAAGGTTTGGTTGTAGATGAGATGGTACTGTTCTCTTGCTGCCATGTGTGTTTGGTTGAATGGTTTGTTCTCTTGCTGTGGTTGTAGATGACATGGTACTGTTCTCTTGCTGGCATGTGTGGGGAAGGTTTGGTTGTAGATGACATGGTACTGTTCTCTTGCTGCCATGTGTGGGGAAGGTTTGGTTGTAGATGAGATGGTACTGTTCTCTTGCTGGCATGTGTGGGGAAGGTTTGGTTGTAGATGAGATGGTACTGTTCTCTTGCTGCCATGTGTGGGGAAGGTTTGTTGTAGATGACATGGTACTGTTCTCTTGCTGCCATGTGTGGGGAAGGTTTGGTTGTAGATGACATGGTACTGTTCTCTTGCTGCCGTGTGTGGGGAAGGTTTGTTGTAGATGAGATGGTACTGTTCTCTTGCTGCCATGTGCACAGGTTGTCTTGTGGGTAACATGGCAGGGTTGTATTGTGGGTAATATGACTGGCTGTGTTGTGGGTAATACTGCTGTGTTGTGGGTAATATGGCATCTTTGTATTGTGGGTAATGCGTCTGGTTGTGTTGTGGGTAATACAACTGGCTGTTTAGTAGGTAATACGACTGTTGTGTTGGTAATACGGCTGATAGTGTTGTGAGTAATACGACTGGCTGTGTTGTGAGTAATACGACTGGTTGTATCCTGGGTAAAACGATTGGCTATGTTGTAGGTAATACGACTGGCTGTGTTGTGGGTAATACTACTCGCTGTATTGTGGGTAATACGACTGGTTGTGTTGTGGGTAATACTACTGGCTGTGTTGTTGGTAATACGGCTGGGTGTGTTGTAGGTAATACAACTGGCTGTTTTGTGGGTATAACGACTGGTTGTGTTGTGGGTAATACGACTTGGTGCGTTATGGGTAATACTACTGGCTGTGTTGTGGGTATAACGACTGGCTGTGTTGTGGGTAATACGACTGATTGTGTTGTGGGTAATACGAATGATTGTGCTGTGGGTAATACTACTGGCTGTGTTGTGGGTAATATGACTGGTTGTGTTGTGGGTAATACGACTGGCTGTGTTGTGGGTAATACGACTGGTTGTGTTGTGGGTAATATGACTGGTGGTGTTGTAGGTAATACGACTGGCTGTGTTGTGGGTAATACGACTGGTTGTATTGTGGGTAATATGACTGGCTGTGTTGTTGGTAATACGACTGGCTGTGTTGTGGAGTATCATGACTGGCTGTGTTGTGGGTATCTGACTGGCTGTGTTGTGGGTAATACAACTGGAAGTGTTGTGGGTAATATCTGACTGGTGTGTGTTGTAGGTAATATGACTGGTTGTGTTTTGGAATATCTGACTGGCTGTGTTGTAGGTATCTGACTGGCTGTGTTGTGGGTAATACAACTGGTTGTATTGTGGGTAATATGACTGGTTGTGTTGTGGGGTAACTGTATTCGTAATACTCTGTATTCTTGGTAATACAACTGGCTGTGTTGTGGGTAATAACGACTGTGTTGTTGTATGTTGTGGGTATTGGGTATGACTGGTTGTGTTGTGGAATTATCTGACTTGGTGCGTTATGGGTAATACTACTGGCTGTGTTGTGGGTATAACGACTGGCTGTGTTGTGGGTAATACGACTGATTGTGTTGTGGGTAATACGAATGATTGTGCTGTGGGTAATACTACTGGCTGTGTTGTGGGTAATATGACTGGTTGTGTTGTGGGTAATATCGACTGGCTGTGTTGTGGGTAATACGACTGGTTGTGTTGTGGGTAATATGACTGGTGGTGTTGTAGGTAATACGACTGGCTGTGTTGTGGGTAATACGACTGGTTGTATTGTGGGTAATATGACTGGCTGTGTTGTTGGTAATACGACTGGCTGTGTTGTGGGTAATACGACTGGCTGTGTTGTGGGTAATACGACTGGCTGTGTTGTGGGTAATACAACTGGGCGTGTTGTGGGTAATACGACTGGGTGTGTTGTAGGTAATATGACTGGTTGTGTTTTGGGTAATACGACTGGCTGTGTTGTAGGTAATACGACTGGCTGTGTTGTGGGTAATACAACTGGTTGTATTGTGGGTAATATGACTGGTTGTGTTGTGGGTAACACGACTCTGTATTCTTGGTAATACGACTGGTTGTGTTGTGGGTAATACGAATAGCTGTGTTGTTGGTAATACGACTGGCTGTGTTGTGGGTAATACGACTGGGTGTGTTGTAGGTAATACGGCTGACAGTGTTGTGGGTAATATGACTGGTTGTGTTGTAGGTAATTCGACTGGCTGTGTTGTGGGTAATACGACTGGCTGTGTTGTGGGTAATACGACTGGCTGTGTTGTGGGTAATTCGACTGGCTGTGTTGTGGGTAAAGTGACTGGCTGTGTTGTGGGTAAAGTGACTGGCTGTGTTTTGGGTAATACTACTGGCTGTGTTGTGGGTAATACGACTGGCTGTGTTGTGGGTAATATGACTGGGTGTGTTGTAGGTAATACGACTGGTTCTGTTGTAGGTAATACGTCTGGCTGTGTTGTTGGTAATACGACTTGCTGTGTTGTGGGTAATACGACTGGCTGTGTTTTGGGTAATACTACTGGCTGTGTTGTGGGTAATACAACTGGCTGTGTTGTGGGTAATACGACTTGCTGTGTTGTGGGTAATACAACTGGCTGTGTTGTGGGTAATACGACTTGCTGTGTTGTGGGTAATATGACTGGCTGTGTTGTGGGTAATACGACTGGCTGTGTTGTGGGTATCTGACTGGCTGTGTTGACTGGCTGTGTTGTTGGTAATACGACTGGCTGTTTTGTGGGTAATACGACTGGCTGTTTTGTGGGTAATATGACTGGCTGTGTTGTGGGTAATACGACTGGCTGTGTTGTTGGTAACATGGCTGTGTTGTTGGTAACATGGCACCATTGTGTTGCAGGCGTGTGGGAAGGTTGTGAAGTTCATGAAGGTTCAGGGCCAGGCCATACAGTCCAGCCTGGACGGGAAGAACGTGGAGGTGGTGCTGGTCGACCTGGGCAAGAGGTTTCACCGGGTCATCTACGAGCACATTGTCCAGTTCCAGTACAATGAGATGGGTGAGTCAATAGTCTGTAAAGGGCAAGCACTTTCAGTCTCCACTACTAGCACTTACTCAGCTATAGTCCTCTAAGAGAAATTGGACCAACGGGTCACCTTCAACTTTGACAAAAACATAGACATTGGGACTTCAGCTTTGACATGCTCCAGCGAGAGTCATGGATGATATATCTAATAAAGTAGAACAATGGGTTTCATGTCACACATCATATCATCTGCCCTCACATTGTTAGGAGGGGATTTCATAATTGAAATGCAACAGTTATCCCACAAATCACTTCCTACCAAAAATCGATTTTGCAATCAGTAACTGATCACAAAAGATCAGTGTATAATCAACAACAAATATTCAACCACGCAGTTTCAGAATTACAATCACAGTGGGTCAGATCTTCAGCAGGTTCTAGAAATTGTATGATGGATATGTTCAGAATATTTTCTTGCTGCAAACGTCTTCATGTGGAAGATGGCTTTTACTTGTTTACAGTCAAAGCTGGATTGTGATGCACTAGAAGGTTAACATTTGGTTAACCCATTCCCTGGGTACCTATTCACTGCCTGGTGATCAAAGGCAATTTTGAACAAACTCACTTTCCTATGGTGAGATCACATGTGTTACATGTGCTTCGTTGTGGAGCAGGACTGAAGTCTCTCAGGAGTCAAGCTGCCAAACTTGGTCACCCATCCAAGGGCTCTCCTTGACCAATGTTGCTTAACTGCAACTGATTTGTGACCTGAGCTCTTTGGACAGGACCAAACACCACCACCATGGCAAGAGATGCAAATTCAGGTCTAAATAAGCCTCAAATCACTATCTGGCTGCTTGTATAGACAGGTACAGCAAGCCTGTAGAAACTGTCTCATCCACAAACTTCTCATCTGATGAAGCCTGTCATGTTAATGTTAACACAAAGATGGATAACTCTAAATAATTCACTACTGCAGACCACTATTGAATGTGACCACCACAGCACTTGATATTTTACTAGCTCTTCAGTTATTTGCTGCCACTGACTGTAATACATTGACGTCCTCATGGTTTGGTAGACTGTCAGTTTTACCTGAAGTCATGGCGATGCATACTATAGAAATGATCCCTAAAAGTATGACCTGCAACTAAATTTAGTCTAGAACCACTACTGTTGTTTACATAATATATTAAACCATTAACATAAAGTGGGGGAATACTTATTGATGTTGTACATGACATACCACTCACAGAGGGAATGTTTATCAATAAGATACTGGCCACAATATATTATTAACAGGAGGGAGGAAAGGCTTAATGAGATGTTGGCCATGATATACCACTCACAGAAAGTGAGGGAATGCTTAAGATGTCAGACATGACATGCTACTCAGAAAATAAGGGAACATCTAGTATAGGGTAATTATATCTGCCATCATATACTACTCATCGGAACTTACAGAAAATACAACACCAACATCTAACTGATGATGCTGGTATGGTGCAGCTACCATGTGGGTTCACAGCACTTAGTTGCTTATGGTGCTACAATTTACTTTGCAGGATTACGTCCCTTAGATGTGTCAGAATCCTGTGATCACCAGTTTGAACCCCATCCAATATCAACTCAATCATTTTTAGGTACTTATGTAATGTTGACCTGTCAACCATTGTTAAGAAGTATTTCGGCAACTGTGAAACATGATGCACAAACCTACAGTTGATGGTCAAACGTGTTGCAGATAAATGTGCATGTTGTAATTGTTTAGATTTTCACATCTCTTTTGTTTCCAATCAAGATCACATTAGTTGTGTTAGCTGTGGATTTGTTTGTTGTTGTTCAATGACGCAATCAGCAATATTCCAGCTATATGGCAGTGTGTTAGCCATGAGAGCTATCTAGAGTTTGGATTGGGTGGACACATTCAATGAAGTGGCAATAACCCAACTCGCTCATTTCCTGCCTCAAACCCTCCCTCACTCACTCGCTCACTCACTCACTTCCTGCCTCCCACCCTCACTCACTCACTCACTTTCTGCCTCTTAACCTCACTCACTAAATGCCTTCCGTCTCTGATTTGCCTGTTCACCTACCTACCCATTCACTCACCCACTCACTCACCCAGGCACTCACCCACCTACTCACCCGCTCACCCACCCATTCACCAACCCATCCACTCATCCACCCATCAACCAACCCATCCACTCATCCAACCCACTCACCAACACATCCACCACCCCCCACTCATCCAACCCATCCACTCACCCACTCGCCCACCCATCCACTCACCCACCCACTCACCCACCTGCTCACCCGCTCACCCACCCACCCATTCACCTGCTCACCCACCCACTCACCCACCCACTCACCCACCTACTCACCCAGCCACCCACCCATTCCACCCATCCACTCATCCACCCACTCATCCAACCACTCACCCACCCACTCATCCAACCACTCACCAACACATCCACTCTCACCCACCCACTCATCAAACCCATCCACTCACCCACCCACTCACCCACCCATCCACTCACCCACCCACTCACCCACCTTCTCACCCGCTCACCCACCCATCCACTCATCCACCCACTCATCCAACCACTCACCCACCCACTCATCCAACCACTCACCAACACATCCACTCACCCACCCACTCATCAAACCCATCCACTCACCCACCCACTCACCAACCCATCCACTCACCCACCCGCTCACCAACCCACCCACTCACCTGCTCACCCACCCACTCACTAACCCATCCACTCACCCACCCACTCACCCACCCAGCTCACTTTTACTTTCATTGGCATGACATGAAAACATTGATTACACATTTTCCACAAGACTTCTGGGTTGCATTTAATCCACTGCTCTGGAAGGAAAACCTTCATACAATGTATTTCAATCTGAGTGTTTCTTCTTCATTTTATTTAAATTCTTATTGTTTTTTGCTTATTACTTTGATGTGGAGAATGATAAATGAGCAGAATCTGTCAGTATCTTTGAATATCTTGTATGTAAATCACTGATATTTTATTGAAAAATATTCATAACATATCCCAAATTTCATTGTGTTCCCAATTAATATCATCTCCATCATCCGCTGCAGGAGAGATTGTGATTTCCCCTGTCACTGATGGCCGTGTAAACAGGACTTGGATGAAACATACAAACAGTGTTTTGTATACATTGTCAGGCCTTGGATGAAACATACAAACAGTGTTTTGTATACATTGTCAGGCCTTGGATGAAACATACAAACAGTGTTTTGTATACATTGTCAGGCCTTGGATGAAACATACAAACAGTGTTTTGTATACATTGTCAGGCCTTGGATGAAACATACAAACAGTGTTTTGTATACATTGTCAGGCCTTGGATGAAACATACAAACAGTGTTTTGTAGACATTGTCAGGCCTTGGATGAAACTTATACATACAGTGTTTTGTTTTGTATACATGTCAGGCCTTGGATGAAACATACAAACAGTGTTTTTGTAGACATTGTCAGAGCCTTGGATGAAACCGTGTACAAACATTGCAGCCTTGTGAACATACATTGTCAGGCCTTGGATGAAACATACAAACAGCAGTTTTGTCATTGTCAGGCCCTGATGGAAACATACACAAACAGTGTTTTGTAGACATTGTCAGGCCTTGGATGAAACATACACAAACAGTGTTTTGTATACATTGTCAGGCCTTGGATGAAACATACAAACAGTGTTTTGTAGACATTGTCAGGCCTTGGATGAAACATACATACAGTGTTTTGTAGACATTGTCAGGCCTTGGATGAAACATACAAACAGTGTTTTGTATACATTGTCAGGCCTTGGATGAAACATACAAACAGTGTTTTGTATACATTGTCAGGCCTTGGATGAAACATACAAACAGTGTTTTGTAGACATTGTCAGGCCTTGGATGAAACATACAGACAGTGTTTTGTAGACATTGTCAGGCCTTGGATGAAACATACAGACAGTGTTTTGTAGACAGTGTTTTGTAGTGTTTGTAGACATTGTCAGGCCTTGGATGAAACATACATACATTGTCACAGTGTTTTTGTAGACATTGTCAGGCCTTGGATGAAACATACAAACAGTGCTTTGTATACAGTCAGGCCTTGGATGAAACATGCACAGTGTTTTGTAGACATTGTCAGGCCTTGAAACATACAACACATGACAAACTTGGATGAAACATACAGACAGTGTTTTTGTAGACATTGTCAGGCCTTGGATGAAACATACATACAGTGTTTTGTAGCACATTGTCAGGCCTTGGATGAAACATACAGACAGTGTTTTTGTAGACATTGTCAGGCCTTGGATGAAACATACATGACAGTGTTTTGTGACATTGTCAGGCCTTGGATGAAACATACAGACAGTGTTTGTAGACATTGTCAGGCCTTGGATGAAACATACAAACAGTGTTTTGTAGATTGTCAGGCCCTTGGATTTGAAACATACAGACAGTGTTTTGTGCATACATGTCAGGATGATGAAACATACATACAGTGTTTTGTATGAAACATTGTCAGGCCTTGGATGAAACATTATACATCAGGCCTGGATGAGAACATACAGACAGTGTTTGTAGACATTGTCAGGCCTTGGATGAAACACACAGACAGTGTTTGTAGACATTGTCAGGCCTTGGATGAAACATACATACAGCAAGCTTTTATGATTACATTGTCAATGGGCCTTGGATGAAACATACAAACAGTGTTTTGTAGACATTGTCAGGCCTTGGATGAAACATACAGACAGTGTTTTGTAGACATTGTCAGGCCTTGGATGAAACATACAGACAGTGTTTTGTAGACATTGTCAGGCCTTGGATGAAACATACAGACAGTGTTTTGTATACATTGTCAGGCCTTGGATGAAACATACATAACAGTGTTTTGTAGACATTGTCAGGCCTTGGATGAAACATACAAACAGTGTTTTGTAGACATTGTCAGGCCTTGGATGAAACATACAGACAGTGTTTTGTAGACATTGTCAGGCCTT